AAAAAAAAAAAGCGAAACAATCTCTTGACCAAATCTTCCCAAAAAACTTTTTTCTTCAACAACTTATAAACAAATTTATTATCAAAAAATTAATGGTGGCATTTTCAAGCCCTTATTAATCGTAAGAAAAAAAAATGCAACTGATGCAAACCCTAAATGAAATCGACCTGTATCAATTACCATTTTAATCGATTATACCTCCTACTCAGCGCCAGTGGCTGCAAGTAACACTATTTAACCACGAACTACCGCCTTCAGCCTAAACTACTGAATACTAAATCTCGACTAACCCAAATTTGAGATATGCGTAGTAAATTAAAGCAGCGAATAAATGACGGTGATGACCAGCATTAAGACCGGAGGTACTATGCGTAAATACATCTGCAAATTAAATAGACAGATACGATCTGTACATTAGACGAATGTATGCAAGTGATGATGACTGCTGAGCCAATCATGCAAACGGAACAACAGCAAGCAACAAAACGATGTGCCAAACAAGGCCGGCCGAGTAATTCTGTTCGGTTTTGCAGTAAACCGAACCAGCGAACAAAGTTCAACTAACCAAACAAAATCGTCCGTCACACCACACTTCCAACAGTGCAGTCAACAAGCAACAGTCGGCAGTCAGACCAGTCAGCCATTCAGTCAGTCAGTCAGTTAGTTAGTTAACCAGTCAGTCAATCAGTCATTCAGTCAGTAAGTAGTTAATCAGCCAGTCAACTTATTAACGAGTATAATTTTGCTTCTTCTTTCATTCCCTGCAGATACAAATATATCGATACATAAGCAGATAAATAGGTTCCTGGCGTTTTCTACCATCTTTACTAATCAGAAAGGATTTTTTCTATCAACAATTGTCATGTGATGCTTAGTCATCAAAAACAGAACAAAAAAAACAATGAAAACTTGTTTTCTTACTGCACGTCAACCTAAACATCTCATTATTAACCAGATGCCCCAACTTTACAAGCAATTTGTTCTTATCAGCCAAAAATACAATGTTCATTATCACCAACACATCGCTCCTAGAAAAGAAAACTGCTTCTTAAAGCAACCGAACCAACTCGCAGCCATAAAGTAAAAATCGATTTTAATTTTCGAACTGAGAGCTTCTGTACACGACTATCCGAAAAGCGATCAGGACAATCTGCCTAAAAAAAAAAGCACATGATTGTTCCGAATAAAAAAAACAGTGCTTAACGCCACTAGTAAAACGACCAGTTTGGTATTTTAACCCTCCAAAAGAGCATGTCAAGCTCTTCTGATCCTGTTGTTATTTCGCTTCAGGGACTAATGAAGCGCCAACTTCCTCTAATTTTGTATTAAACAGACCAGATCAGCCGCGCAACAACAATGACAAAGGCCCCCACAAAACAGCCCTCTACCAATATAGCATTTGTAGCCCATATCTGCAGTATGACATGAACCAGTCTTTGATCTTATGAGGTATCGTCAGCTTTCCAAATTCGTTAGCTCTTGACATGCAATCTTGACTAAAAGCAAACACAACAAAGACCACCAATTTATGGCATTAATCGTCTACAGACGTATCGCACACCATAGCCGTCGCCACTTATGGAAGACGCCGTCTCCAGTGACTCAAAACGCCTGCAAAACTCCCACACTACAGCCTTCAAAAAGCCCTGTAGTACAAAACTCTTAAGACCCTTAACACTTCCGAAATTGACGATAAAACGCCACCTAAAACTTTTAAAAAACAAAGAAGTTAGGGCAAGAGCCATATAAGACTGTCAAGTAATATTTCAACTCACGAGATCAATTTACTCCAAAATGAACAACCATACCAAACGACAAAACTCATAGTAAGCAATGCCGCCTCGACTCCAATTTTATTAGCTTTTACTCTCAGAACTTATGAGATTGACGGAAATAGAAAAAGTAGTCATTAAAACATATCTTCACCGAGCTATTCAAATATAAGGTTTCATGCAACATTCAAAAATTAAAACACTTCTACCACAACTACAGAGCGGATTGTACAAAATGCTCCTCAATTCCCTAGGCAAACAAACTGAAGAAAAATAAAGAAGCAGAACAGCATAAAAATATACAGTTAATGTAGATATATGCATTTCTAAAAAATTCTGGTAAAAATCCATTGTTTCGCATTAAAATGGCCAACATCATAGAATCAGAGGGAAAACAATCATACACGATTCAACACCTACCGATTTTTGACCAGAACAACTCGAACACATAAATTTAAGTCACGAAAAAAAACTATGACAATTAGGTAAATAAGTAATATCACAAAATTAGCACACCCTTTACCAGATTTAAGTCAAATGACGGTGAATATACATTAAACGCTGTTTTAGAGTGGAGGCTTCAATGAATATAGGAAACTTATTAATCATAGCTCAAATAGAGAAGCTTAAGATTGGGAAAGACGCTAGAAATGGGCAAAACTAACGAAGAAATTAAATGGGTGCATAAAAATTCTAAAAAACTTATTGACCAATTATAAAACTATTAAAAACATTAAAACTTCAAGTAAATTTACGCGAACAAAAATAAGAGAAAAGGTAGAAAATAAAAGACACGTCCAAAAAAACAATAAAACGTGGTTTACAAATTAAGCCACAATAAAAATTCACAGCTTGCAAAAATGAAATTGAAACTGAAACGAATGTCAAACTTTAATAAACCAAAAAAAAATAAAAAAAGCAGTTTACAAAGAGACAGTAAACACTGGAGTGAAAAACGAGAAGATAATAAACTGAACAATATGAAAAGCTGTCCAACTCGACATCTATTACTCCAACTTATAAAAAAAATTAAGCAGCCTGGCCTAAAAATTTAAAGTACCAGCTACCCAGACAACAATTCAATGATAATTGATTAATTTGGTCTTAAAACCCGTCCAGCGTTCCAAATATATAACTTACAAACAAACAACCAGAAATTACTATTTGGCTCTTGTTGCAAAATTACAAGAATATCTTCCAGAGACGAAACAACCCTTAATGTTGAAGTTCCCCAACCACAACCAAGTGAAGCGTAAAACTTAAAAACTGTGAAAAGGTTAAACAAGTATGTTGTCAGAAAGTTGTTCTAAAACGAAGGCAATAAGAGATGCGGAAGTGTTTTTCACGTTCTGACTATTCTACCTTTGCTTGTCGCTGAACATGACAGTTTACAACCGAAAGAATGTACTCATTAAGGAAATAAAGCAGAGAAAATGCAAGTACAAGAATTGAAGCAAATCTCAGAAACACAATTGCTTAACAGAAAAATTCGTTTACTGGGTAGATAAGAATAGAAAAAATAGCTTTAAACCTCGTCTCCGCTACAAAGAAATTGAACCAAGAAGCCCATAAACCCAGCAGTTTTCCAATGCCTTACATCGATGCACAGAAACCTTTCAAAAACTCACTATGAAACCTAAAAACATATATTTCCAGTCGATCAAAGAAAAAATATCTGACTTTTGCGCAAGAGCCTCTGGAATTTTCGATAAAAGCCATATAGGAAAAAGTCGCCCCGCAATCACTTTTGACTATATGAATTGTTTGCAAAAAAGATAATACCAAGCAAAATGTCAATTATTACTGAGTGCAGCCCTACTTCTTCGAACATAACAGAAATTACCAAGCCCAACCAGTTTACCTGAGTCTCGCTTTCACTTGCAACCAAAGAGGCAAGATGATAATGCTGTTTCCTTAGCGCTGCAAACCGAGCTCTTTCACGCATTAAATCAGCTTCCAACTCCAACGTTCGGACCTGGCTCTCCATTTCTTCCTTCTTGGCTTCATGAAGTGATAAATGGCTGAAGTCTAGGTTTTCTAAAAGCATAATCTTTTCCGTCCTCTTCACTTTTCAGTGATAATGCATAAAATGTTCTATTAGTCTGTAATTGTACGTCAGTTCACCAAAAAGTTTATCATAAAAAATATGCTTTATCAAAACGTACGTGAGTCACTTAAAGTCTGCTGTCCTGACTTAACAGTAGCAACTACATTGGCAGTACAGGAATTAACCGCCTTCGAAGCTGACGCTAACTCTGCTAATCGTTTTGAGTCGCGATCTGCTTTCACTCTAGAAGATACGAAAAGCTGGGCAGTACTAGCAGCGATTTCCTGAGAAGCAACAATAAGGAACTCGAACTTCCCTTT